AAGTTATTTTTTTTTTTTTTTTTTTTTTTGAGACAGGGTCTCACTATGTAATTGAGACTGACCTGGAACTCACTATGTAGTTCAGTCTGGTCTCGAACTCACAGTGATCCTCCTGCCTCAGCCTCCTGAGTGCTGGGTTGTACAGTATTTTTAATGGGTAGAGACTGGAACTATTAGAATAAAGTTTGTGTTGCCTGCCGCTCCCTACCTTAAGTTGACCGATTTCTTCCTCACCTCAACTATTGGTAATCTGGAGCTGACTTTGTTTATAGAAGCAGCTATGATGGGCTGGAAAGTTCAACTTAAAGTTTAAGTTCCTGGATAATGTAAAGCCCTGATAAAGCTGCATCTGTACTATAATCCTCTGAAGACATATAGTATATGTAAAATTCAAGAAGAAATGTATGACATTCCTTTTTTCTGAATGTTTAAAAAAATTAGAAGTTTGAAAAGTACTTTTATACTTAGATGTCTGACAACAAAGGAATTACAAAAGACAGCGGTATCCATAGAACGTGAATCTTGCTTTTAGAGTCAGTAAGTTCTAAGTTTAAAACTAGCTCTGCAACTGTAAAATAATTAAAACATTTTTTTTCTCTTTCAAAAGTATTCTCAGGATCTTCGTCCAGTACTAAGTATGATCCTGATATCTTAAAAGCTGAGATCTCTACTACACGATTAAGGGTAAGATTGCTTTTATTGTGGTTCTACATTGACTGCATGCATGGAATCCGAAAGCCATGAGTGGATATTTCACATTTCTATTCTGTGTAGGAAACTTCTCCACTTATTCGTTCTGGGTGGTCTTTTCTCCCTTTTTTTGAACAAGTTCAATGTTTGGGATTGTCTTTGTCATTGAGACAAAATATATTCTATTATTGGGTTTTTATTGTTGTTGCTGCTAGTAGTTAGAATAATATTGAAGGAAAATTGGAGTGTTGATACCTTACTTTTCCTCATCCTGCTAGTTTTGTCCTGGATTTGTGTCCCCATACCATTTCTTTTTTAAGTCAAACCATGAGTTGTCCATAATTTCTCATATAGATTGGTTTGTGATCTTTTTCGAAATATTTTTGATCCAACTATGTAAAGGTAAGCACTTATTTAATCCTTGATTGTAAGGGTCTATTAGGCTTTTCACCATGCAGATTAACTTGTGTAATATTGCCATTGTTGTAAGATAGATTGTTAGCTACCATGACTGCAAAATCCTCCCTGTGTCCCTTTATTGTTATTACTCATCCTCCTCCTACTTAAAGCAGTACTAGCCTTGTTAACATTGTAGGTTTTTTTTTCCTTTTTTAAACTTTGTAAAACTATAATGTTATTGCATGTGTTATTTGATAGCTTGTTTTTTTTGGGGGGTTGGTTTTTTTGAGACAGGGGTCTTGCAGTGTAGTTCAGGTTAGCCTTGAACCCACTGTGTTGCCCGGGCTGACCTTGAACTCCTGGTAATCTTCCTGCCCCAGCCACCCAAATGCTGGGATTGTTGGCATGCACCACCATACACAACTTAATGGCTTTTGTTCAAAAATATTTTAAGATTCACACACATTCATTTTTACCATTAACATTTTAATGTTAATGTTAATGTTAATGTGAATTTTACCATTAACATTCTGCTTTAGTGTATGTACCATAAGTTCTTGATCTTTTCTACCATTAAAGTATATTAGAGTTAATTTCAATTTCTGATTATTAAAAATTATGCCACAATGTACATGTCTGTTATGCCTGTCTTTTTGGTGCACATCATGTATACATTGTTGATAAAGGAGTTCACTTGCTATATCAAAAATAGACATTTTAATAAATACTGCCAATCAGCATCAGCCCTTCTTCATATCTGCACTTTGGCTCTGAATTACTCAGTACAGGGCTGGGGATTTAGCTCAGTGGTTCCACCGCCTGCCTTGCAAGTGCAAGGACTTGAGTTCAATCCCTGGTACCAAAAAAAAAAAAAAACCTCAATACACATGTCTTTTGCCTATAATTTTGTATTTTTAATATAATTAATTTCCAAAACCTATTTTATTTATTTCTTATATAAGTATATTGTTTAATTTTCAGTTAGCGATTTTATCTTTTATTACTTATTTCAGCTTATTCTATTTATATTTTTCAGTTTAAAAGTTTCTGCTTATTTTTGATTTCTAGTTATTCACCCAAATCTGCACATTGATAAGTAATATTTTGATCAAAATAATCACAATATTTTAAAACTCCGTTAGTATGATATCTAGATATCCTATGTTGGATTCTTTGTTCTTATCTTTTTTTAATGTTAATTCTTGACTCTTACGATTGCTTACTTTTTCTTAGGAGTCATACAGGATATATGGAAAATTATAAAGAGAATTTGAGTCTTGGAATGATCTTGTCATCTATCAGAGAGGATTTAGTTTTGCTTCTTTTAGGCAGGCCAGGAACAGAGAATTTTAACCTGATCAGAGTGAGACTGACTAAAATATGGACTTTAATCCTAAAATCCCATGTTAACTTTTGGGACTTTTATCAGGGCCTCTTGTGCTCAATTTGAGGCTGTACTCCGCGTGCCTTTCTGTTTGCTTCCTGGCTCTGCGAGATGTCAGTAGTTCCATGCAGCTCACACTGTCGCTGTCGCATGCTGTCGCTTATTCATGCTTTCTCCTGCTTTTCAACTTATTGCATTGGCAAGTGCCTCAGAAGGGATGCAGTGCTGCATTTAGATTCACTCTGAGCTTCCCTTATCTTTTAGATCTTTAGCATACGTTTTTGCAGTTAGTAGTTCTCCAGTATCTATAAATAGATGTTTGTGCCCCCTCCCATTTTTTGTCACAACATTTTAATTTATTTTCAGAAAAAGAGCGTAAAAAAGTTTATGTAGAGGATGGAGGTATAGCTCAGTGGTAGTGTCCAGCACAAAACTAGCCAAAACAAAACAAAAGCCAAAATTTAGGTATATTACTGGAAGTACAGTCTTCAATTTGGATTTCTTGGTTTAATTTATGAAGTCATTTATAGAAATGAACTGTGTCATTCAATTGTAAGTGACCTCTGGGGTGTTGTGGACCTTTTACTCTGTTCTTCTAGTCTTATTTCTCTGTAGATTTCTTAAGATTATTATGTGATAGTTTGTCAGATGCTTTGGTACTATATCTCTGTGCTGTGCCTGAACATTCCTATGAACTACTAGACTAGATACCTTATCTTTAAAAAAGGAAATGAAGCTATTTTTGTTCAAAACCTCCTCAGTGAACACCAATAGTCACTTGAGCTTTAGACTTTTCAGGAAGTTATTACTTAGTATCACTGCCCTTTGAAATGTTAACAATTTTTGATAGTTCTTATCTTTGGAAAGCACATTATGAATGGAATAGCCATAGTAACCTATTGTAGTCTATCCACTTAAATTCCTTGTAGAAAATATGCAAACTCAGTAAGGGATTTTAAAACAAAAACATATTAAGATGTCTTGGACAAATAACTGTGTAGAAGGAAAGAGAGCCTCTTGTCAATCAGAGAAATCATAGGAGAACCCAAGTGGTCACATTCCCCATAACTCTTCTCACACATTTGTCTTAGACAAAGCTTGTCCTATATGAGGTCTAATTTGCTCTTAATACTAAAAGTCTATATTTTATGAAATCACATATATGAGCCAGAGTGTTCTACCTTTCCCATGAAAGTGCTTCTCAATAGGATGTCAGACATTCATATGTAACTATAGTAAAATGTCAGAAGTGCTGGGAGGAGGGGGTGAAGGGAGGGTAGGGACAAGGGGGAAAAATGAGAACCAAGATCTGTCACGTAAAGGTACAAGATCCCAATGATGAATGTAACTGTACTGTATACTTTAAAAGTACCAATAAACTCAATAAGATAAAAATGTAAAACTAAAATAAAATAAAGTAAAACTTCAGGGAAGTGAAAATGCCTCATAGAACTGCTCTTGTAGCAATCTGGCCCTTGTAGCTTGTATTGCTGTGTGATGGTTCCCACTGGTTCACACTCTAAAAGCAGGTTGCTCTGCTATGTGTGCACGTTCTGGCCAGGTAGCACTTTCAGAAGTGGTAGAAAATCTTGGATTTTGATAACCTTTTCGTCTGGTTCACCTGCCTTATGTATGAAACAATCCCTGTGTATAAAAGTTCCTTTCACAGATTAATGTCATTAATTTCACAGTAATTCATGAATGAATTAACTCTTCTTTGCTTTGGTGACTCTGTACTTGCCTGAATTTTAGGCCACAGTAACATTTTTTTTTTTTTCTGGAAAGTCAAACACTAGTTTAATACTTCATTGTTTTGGTGCAACAGTATTAGCAGGTGCCACACTGACTTTTCCCAAAGAAAAGTCTTTGAGAACTGAGTATTTAGGAACATCTGTCCAAAACATCTGTTTCATATTATTTTATATTGTGGTGTAGATAGTGTTCTCCTTTACAGTCTTCCTCAGTCAAATGAGATGACAGTATTTCCTGATATCTTATTTCTGTGTGTTGAAATGGTGAATTAAATAAATTAATGTTTTCACTAAGATATTCATAATTTTTAGTTATTATTTTTTGCTTTTTGACAACTCACATAATATTTTACTTTTTTATTAGTCTACGTTTGTAATACATCATTTATTTGGGGGGATTAGTATAGGGAGATAGCATATCTTTGTCATTTTATTTTTTTAGATTAATTTTATTGGTACATTTTAAATATACATAATGATCACATTCATCATAGGGAATTTGTACCTGTACATAATATATCTTGATTCTTTTTTCCCTAACCCCCTCCCCTCCCTTCAACCCCTCTTCTTTTCTTTATTTACAGAAGCTTTATTTCCATTTTTTCCTTCTATTCTTTTTTTTCTTTCCCTTCCCCCCTTCCTTTTCAACATTTTTTTCCAATTTCCCAATATCTATTATACATCATGGTTCTTATTACTACTCTGCCATAAAGAAGGATAAGCTCACAACATTTCTAGGTAAATGGATGCACCTTGAGGCCATACTTTTAAATCAAATAAATCAGACGCACATGTTCAAATATCATATTGCTTCTCTGGTGTCATTCTAATTGCTTGAGATAATTCTGTTTTTTTAGGAAGAGTAATACAAAACTTTTTATTCTAAAAGTGGTCACTTATTTATATTAGATATTTAGACCATAGCCTTCTTGGGATAAGGGGTAGATGTCAAATTCAACTTACATTTTTTTAAAAAATCTATGCTTAAGTTTACAAGTAGGTAAGATGTGGTGAAAATTTGGTAGAGAAAATTTCTGGTGAATTTTACTAAAATTTTGCCATTGTCTATTAAATTGAAATAGGATTCCAACATGTATAAGAAAATCTTTAGGAAGACAAATGGATTTGAGAAGTTTGAGCACCACAGCATATGGTCAAATAACAATTTTTGATTTTGTAAAAGATAAAATCTGGACGTGGTGGCACATGCCTGTAATCCCAGCACTTGGGAGGCTGAGGCAGGAGAATCACTGTGAGTTTGAGACCAGCCTGGGCTCTAACTAGTGAGTTCCAGGTCAGTCTCAACTACATAATGAGACCCTGTCTCAAAAAAAAAAGCAAGGAGAAAACAAAGACTCTTTTGATTATATATTCCAATCCAAATGTTGCTAGTTAATGGACACTATTATTAATAACATAACTATTTTATATTATATAATTATATAACTAATGATATAGCA